TTTTTCTATATCAGGAAAAAGGGCGCCCTTTCTTCACTTTCAATTGTGTATGTGCGCATAGGAAGTAGCAAAGCAGAAACTGGTGAGAACTTTGCAGTAAAAAGTAAAAAGCACACTGAAAACACAGCACAAGATCACCAAAGCAATCATAAAAACAAGACTTGACCTAGTCTCAGTAGTTACTGAGTGTTGTGTCACATATGATACTGAGTGTTGGATACCTAAAGACAAATGCATATATGGCTCAATTTTTAAGCATCGGTATTCCATAAGACCTGATTTATATATACACACAAAATATAACAGATATACAACAAACAGAACAATCCAAAATTCGACCTTCAAAATAAAGAACGAAGCAAAGAAGAAAGGAAAAATGAAAAAAGGAAGATACCCACATAAATATTAAGTTGCCTAATGAAACTGGAGAAATTGTTGTGCTTGAAATACTTAGGAAGCAAACACACGGAGAACTCAGTCATGTCCCAGATAATAAAACTGTCATTGCTTTTGCTCCAGGATATAAGCGAGTCGGTCGACTCATCGTCCACCATCTCATAACAATTTTTTCAGGAAAGGCGCCACAGAACCAAAACCATTATCGGACGACTTTACCATCCCTTTCGACAAATTCCCACCAAAGAAATCCCAATTCGCGCAAAATCAGTCGGATTCACCTGAATTTTCTCAAGTCTCAGCCCAAGGAGCCGACAAAGTCCTGGTCTTTCACTTGCTTTTGTAGAGCGAGAGAGAGGGAGAGAGAGCGGAGTAAAGGACCAGGACAGTGTGAAGCGATGGGATGGAAATTTCGCGTCTAACGCTGTTGCTGGGGAAGGCGGTTAGAGCCTTGGAATATCTTGATGACTTGAGGACTGGGCAATTTGCCAATTTCGCTTTTGGTTTGGCTTTATGTGAGTAGACCGAAGACTCAGCTAGTCAGCGTACAAAAAAAAGAAGGAAAAAAATTACCAATAAATTTCATGTAAAAAATTATTCCACTTTTTAAATTAAAAATTATATATTTCCAATATTTTATTCATTAATGTTGTGTATTCCTTTTTTTTTTTTTGGGCCAACGATTAATATTGTGTATTCATAACGTTTTTGTGGGATGATAGCCCACGATGTGATGATAAAGATTTTTGCCATTTCATTTTTATGATTTTGTGAATTTTTCATCCCCCACATACGTCCTATGTTAATCGTATAATTCCTCCGATCTTAAATATAAGACTTATTTTATAATATAAACTATAAAATAAATCTTATATTAAAACCAGAGGAGAGAGGAGTATAGAGAGCAATAAGAATGCAGCGGCTATTAATATTTAATTATTTCTTAATTATAAACATTGATTTTAACGCATTCTATTGTCACATCTGTGTCATGCATCTGAAGACAAACATAATTAAAATTTACTTTTGCCAGCACAGACATGAATTCAATAATTAATTCTACTTCCCACTGATTTGAGTAGAAAATAGTAGAAAATATGTACGTTTTTTCATAATACGCTCCTGATTGTTTTGCATTAAAACTACTCTATAATGTAAATTTCAGTAAATCCATAACATATATAGTTAATGAGGATAGTTTTTTTTTAAAAAAAAAAGTATGATGAATAAATAATCTGAGAACTTATGTTTAAATCAAGCTTAACTCTAATAACTCTTATATTAAGAATTAGATGAAGTAATTCACATTTTAATTAATCTGTTTCTATATTGTAAATGTTGATATAATTTTTTTTGGTAAAAAATGTTGATATAATTTTGTACTCCAACTCCATAATTTGGTGTGATAATAAAATTGTTTTTTTTGCCATAGTGATAATAAATTGTTTAAACTTATATTTGAACTTCAACTTTAACAAATTTGTAAATTTATGCCCCATGAAGATGGGAGACAAACTCCACTTCAACATAATTTGAGGAGATTCGTCTCGTCTCAAATACACTCCTGGTTTTTTACATAAAACAAGGTCATTTAAGAGTTCTAAATAATAAAGGTTTGCATCTAAGCATCATAAAAATATTTGTAAGATTCAGTTAATCCAAAGATTTCAACACACAACATCTAATATTTTGGTCATATCCACCCTTAAAAGTTGTTTGTAATTGTTTGTGAATCTCAGCATGTAAATATTTGTCATATCAAAGTACTTAGTAAAACCCCAAAAATATTTTTTTACATAACCAGCACTCAGCAAAAAAAAATACTTCAAATTGTGGTGATGGTGGCCCCAATAAAAATACTTCAGGGTCTGGATGCATCACAAATACTTTTTAGAGTACTGGTTGCACCTTAGAAAAATATTTCGGGGGTATTGGATGCACCTTAACCCAAAAAGACTAAAAAGAAAGTAAAATTTATGTATGATTTAAGAATTATTTAATCGTCTTTTTTTTTATTTTTACTTTCCCTTGATGCTATAATATTTAAACACTAACCATTGGCAGCAAATTTCATTTAAATTAGAACTTATAAATTGGGACAAAAAATTAGTTATTACATATTTTTATATTGTCCTTATTTTTGTTGGTACATTTTTGGAAGTTACACCATGGCAAGTGGCAACGCTTAAAATTTATTTAATTTAGTTTAGAAGTAGTTTTTTAAACAAAAATAATTTCAATTTTCCCTTCGAAATTAGGCTTCATTTACTTTTCTTCATAAAAACAAGACAAATTTCGGTGTTGCTATTAAAAGAAATAAAATTATCAGAAATAAATGCCAGAATATATGACCTTACTATTTTCACAAAAAATCTAAATTATCTGCATCAAGTTACAGAGCCTTTTCAGTTTTTTTTTCTTTTTAGGCTCCAGAGTTTGACCAACTTGACCAAGTGAGAATGCCCGAGGTTGGCCACCAATCACAGCCACTTTTTAACTATTGCGATATATGACAACGTGGCATACTGGTCTTCTATGGATATTTTCACAGGAAAATGGCATTTTTGGGCTATTACTTTAGGGAGATGATATGGTACAAATTAAAAGGATTTCAAATTTAAATAAATTATTGACAATTAAGGATCAAAATTCTTTATTACTGGTTCGAAAACAAGGTGGCTTTTACGAAATTAAATTCAACCTCGGTTGTGAGCATTAAAAAAAGAGGTTTATAGTTATCAATAGTGAGAGTTTAATAGTAATAAATTATTTGAAATTCATTTTCAAATTCGTGAGAGCTTTGGGCTCTAGATAATTTATTACCACTTTTACAAATATATTGGAAATAAGATTACTCACCACTTTTAATTCTTGCAGTTGGGCTTTCAATGTCCAGTAATTGTTATGTTTTCAAACAAATATAGACTTCTTCTTTTTTTGGTTTTCTATCAGATTTAAATTTAAACTTTAAGTAAGATTAACTTTGATAAAAAAATAATGCAAAAGGATCCTTTTTTAAATAATTACATATTTAAATTAGTTGATAGATTTTGGTAAGAGACTTTGAAAAACAAAAGTGTGCAACAATTCGTTTAAAATAATGTTTCCATATGTCATCAATTCAATTAAAAAACCAATAGTAATTGGATTGAGTAAAAGAAACTCGGCTCTCCGTAAACAAAATCTGTTCTTAAATTTTGTAGATGGAAAAAAAAAGAGAGAGAGAGAGAGCTACTATTAATTGAATTTAACGATTTTTGAATCTGACTTGATAGTATAATCAGGTATCAAATTAAATTATTATATTTCTCTTGGAAAACCTCCCTCTTGAGAGACTTGTTTAGAGATTATGTCCCTATTTCTTACTTAAAGTTTCGTTGAGACATATGACTTCTTCCATGTGATTAGCTGTTGTTATTATATGGTGTCCTTCTATTAATATCTTTTTCCACGTGAAATGCAGTGCGTAAAAATCCATTGTCTTGTCTTTTCATTTTCATTGTCCTTGTGTTATTTAACTGGAATCAGATAAGATTATATACTGAACGAAGCATCGGTCTGTGAAATCTATCATCATCATCATCAGCTAAGAAATGATGGAATATTGTTGGAGATTAAGCTTCCTTTCACAGTTCATGTTGATGATTTATATGTATTTGAGATGATGATTTTATTTTTCCTGAGTCATCATTAATATATTCCTCAAATGCCACAAATGAGCTTGAGCTTCTAGCTATAGGTCTTGGTTTTGTCTTCCTAGTAACCTTCTAAAGGTCAGTGGATTAAGATGAAGTAGAGGAAACTAATTATACTACATTTTAATAGAAGGAAAAAAGAGTGAGTCCACTGATTTATATCCTGCGAATAAACTACATCATCAACAAGTGCTCATCATAACGGTTTACTAATCATGGTTTAAATTTTATTACCGGCAACAGGTTATAAAAATTGAATTGTTGCCAACAGATATACATTAACAAGTAATACATAATAGTAGAATAAGAAGAAGAAATATAGCGGTAGGGTTTATACATTAGTTTGCGATATAAACCCTAGATTTTGTTCAAACAAGTCCTTATTCCTTTGTTTTCAGTTATACCTTCACATGTCAATGAACTCTAAAAGAGTAGTTCAACATTCTAAGAGGTCAAGTCCTTATCTCTACTATTTAGAACTCACTGCAAGAGAATTTTCCTTTTTGTCATATATCTTCTGATTCGTGACTTCTCTATCAATTCAATTGATAGGCATGGGACTCTGTGTTTGAGTAAGCTAGACATCAGCTTTTGGTCTGACAATCCCTTAACAAGAAGATATATAAGATAACAAATATACTTAATTAGATGCCAACACAAATATAAAGAAGATAGTACAGTACATAATATGCTCATTGCCCTAGAGAGTGACATATATAGAAGCAGCTATATATATATAGCTAAGTTTCTTATAAAAGTTGATATCATAAACCTACACATTCTAAACAATCATTCTGACAGCCCCACAAAATTAACTATCCTTGCTGACACAGGCACAGAGAGAGAGAGAGAGAGATTGCGTGGAGGTGATAACATATCTTTGCACTAATTAATGACATGAATCATCGTTCAAAGATTCTTCTTGCTGCTGCACTCTATAGCATCTTGTGGCTTGTTATGATTATTATTATTAGTATGATTCGGATTGCATAGTTCCTTCAGCTCAACGTGCATTGAATTGATGAACGCTCTTGCTTCTTTTGTTGGTTCTTCAATGGCTTCTTTCAGGCTGCTGAGGGCCATGCAATATGCTTCCTGCAGTATGAATCCAACATGCCCCAGAAATATATACATCAGGTGTGAATTTGCACATATTATAGCAGTTAAGACCTAAAAGGTGCTTAAAATTTAATGTGGAATGCGTAAGCATTATATTTGCTTTTATGGACCCCTGGTATAATACCATGAATTGATCAAGTTCTGCAGAACTCGGAGTTGAAGCTGTTTTGAGCCCAGAATTTGCCTTCTGCTTACATGCAGCTTCTGTTAGATCAAACTCTTCTCCAGATTCGCCTAACCCCACCTGAAATAAACAATATTGCACTCAGAGACGCAGGGAGAAAGATGCACATATATATAACCAATGAACTTTGATTAAATGATAGTGAAGCTGTTTTTCTGAACTGAATTTATTTGAGTCACAAATTATAAACCAATACAAAGACAGACGTTCAACCCTGCAAGGCTTCTTGCTAATCTGATGATAGTTAACTGTTTCGCTATAGCCAAGTAGTGTAATCTGCCTAATTAAACTTCTAGTTGACTAAGTTCTGTCTTGTTTTCTTCTCTGAAAAAGATATACTTGATAGACCACGATTTTCCTTTTATAGATCATTCTTTTTGCAAGTTCTAGTGAAGATAAGGAGGACCAGATTGTCTCTCCTTGTTTTTCTTGTCTTCTTTCCCAGCAATAGGTAATAAAACATAGCCTTTACGATCCCTAGCTGTACATGTGTTTCCATATATATATGGTATAAAAACATATAATAGCTAGCTTAATAGCCTTTATTTGTCACTCGTACTTCGTCTAAAGACCTACCTATAAGCATGTTCCTTCCACAAACACCATGGCAGCTCTTCACACAATTCACAGTACAGGAAAAGATACACATGAAAAGAGAAAAGAGGAAAAAAGGGAATAACGCAGCGTGGAAAGAACAAAAAATTGATAAGATACCTTCAAACAGTTGAAGTGAGATTCAATCAAAAGACCATAAAGAGGATGACTGGAAATCATCTTTTTCAGAACCTCATGATCATCATCCCTTATTAGTTTCTCTCCGTCATTTTCTCTCCCACTTCCATACTCACCAATTCTACGACCCTCCATACCTCTCTCTCTTACGCAAACAAAACAGACACACACAAACCCTCATACACAAAGGCATATATATACAGTCACAAATGCGTATGGGAATTTAATGAATTATTACTAGATTACAAATACATCTCTCAGATAAAAGAAGTCACTATTATGGTTCTTGGTGCAAGTGAAGTGTAGCAGTAGCTATCAATATGTACGTACGTTCCTTTTTTTGTCGCTGTTGTGAGTTAATGAAGTTACTTCATTACGGTGAAAATATCAGTATGAATCAAAGTGCATATATATATATATATATATATATGAATGAACATGATGTGCATGGAAACACGATAAAAGGTGAAAGCAATGTACTGTGCAGTGCTGTGTATGCATGGACTTTTTCGCGACGAAAGGAACTTGTCAAGGTTTAGTGCTACGATTAAAGTAGCTTTCAAGGTACTTGCAACCTGCAACCCTTTTTGGCCTTTTCTGCATTCCCTTTCTCTTCTCACATATTCCCCTTTTTGACTACTTCTCTGCGTCTTTGTTATTTACTAAATTCTTGTTTTTCCCAACCAGAATCGCCAATTCCTAGTTACTCCCATTTCTTCTCAAGCACTACTGCATATCATCTATCATTGAACTTCAATCAGCTCATCAGTAGATAAGCATTTAATATTTAAAGTTTATTATTACTTCAATTGTAGTCCAACTGACATGGCGGATTTATTTGCATGCATGTCATCATGGGATAAACTGTAAATTCAAAAAAAGATGGGGAGATTTTAAATTTGAATTTAGGATTATTGAAAACCAATGAGTATATACTTTGGATGAACTTCTCTGGTTATGTTTGGTTACATATCTGCGACTATTTTTGGGGGCATAACGTTCAAAGAGTATTAATTATATATCGATGTGTAATTAAATTTAAGACATGATACTGAGGTGCAAGTAAATGCTGATCTTATTGGGCTGGAAGGTAGACAAAAGTGTGACACGAGGAATTAGAATAGATGTAGTAGGTGTTGGTAATAGGGCTGCTCAAGAACATGTAGCAGCAGTTTGTTATCATGGGAATTGCTTAATTAATCAACGATTTCTTGGGATTCATGCATGTCTTGAAGAAACTGAATCAGGGACAACATTAATGAGTACTTTATTTATTAACTAATAATTAATGTGGTTGTTGTTGATTTGGTCTGCACATTTAAGCATGATGTTTATTTTTCTTTGCTTGGTGATCAAGCTTTTGACGAATAATTAAGGTCTTATCAACCCGATGATTAAATTAGTTGGTTGGGGTCTCGAGTTTTAGACGTCGGAACACAACATCTTAGGGCTAGGGGCGCCAACCTTAATATTTCATGTCATGCCTCGATTCGGATTAGTCTTAGCCTGTTGTTGTGCCTGAAAGATGGCCTGACTCAGGATACCAGGTGCCAACGCAAAATAAAAAATAATAATAATTAAGGCCCTGTCATATTTATGTAAATTGAGGCAAAATTTCTTTTACATACCTATCTTATACACTATAAATCATGATTGAAAAGCTATTTTTGAAGATTTTAATCGTCATTTCAAACAAGCATTTAGCCAGCTTATTCAGCATCTAATAAACTCCATATCATAATATATCTAATCTCATTTCTCAATTCTATTTAATATCCTATTCTTTAATTTATTTTTACTTCTATTAAATGCTTGGTAGTTGTTTTCTAAAATAAAATGATCAATTATATGTATAAAATGAAACAGCTATACAACTAGAGTTCGCATAATAAATGGGAACATCAGTAATTTATAGAAAGAGTGGCTGGAAAAAGAATGTAATAGCGGGTTAATATCTTTTCTCCAGATGTCACTGAAATCAAAATCAGCAAGAAGATCATTAAGCAAATTCTTTTTTAATTTCATGTGACGACAATGGTATTATATCGTTTAAAGATATGCATGCAGAAGAAAAGTGAGGCAACTTGAGATTGAATAATACAATACAGCATTAATCTTAGATAGAAGGGTTCTAGTGTTGATAATAAGCTTTAATTATTTTAGAATATGTATCAATATATATTCATAAAATAAAAAAAGAAATTAAAGGAAAAGATTAGAGATTGAAGGGTGGAGTAATTGAGGGGAGAAAGAATCACATGTGGTTCTGCTTCGGCTTACTATTGATGACGCAACATTGGCAGACTCAATGAGCAAAACTTCCAGTTCAGTTTTCAGTAGGACGCCTATTCGACAAAACTTTGTAATTTCCATATATCCTTCGCCTTTGTGGAAAACCAACATTAATTATTCATATAATATATATGACTTAAAGCTTATAGAGTTGTTTGTTGAAAAATAAAAAGTTCAGAGAGTTATTTATATACAATTTAAAGTGTAAATTCAGACGGCGAAAATTATTTGGTAATTAAGGATTATCTCCAGTTGAGTTTAATTAATTATTCATATATGACTTTAAATTTAGAAAGATATTTGTGGGGGGGGGAGTTCAGTGAAAGTTATTTATTTGCAATTTTAAGTGTAAAGTGATATGGAAAAAGATTATCCCGTAAGAATTATCGTCAATCGAGGTTAGCAATTGTTAAATTTAACAAAATAATATTGAATATCAGATAGTAATTAAAAATATACATTATATTAACTTTGGTTCAAACCCCGCTGAAAAGTTGCCCATATTTATACCTGCAGTATTTCGAATAATAGATTGTCTCCAAGAGAAGGATACTTATGTTTAACAAAAAATATATATATATATGATTATGTAGTTATAACCATCATAACATAAATTTTGATTTAGTAGTTGAATGATAAATTAGTTGATGGTAAGAAATTATGTCAACAAATTAAAGTTAAAAATATCCATAGTCAAAACCTCAGATAAATTAGATATGATTTAATTTTACCCAATCTATGTGTTTTTTTTTTCTTGCTTGGATGAACTTCACTTTTTGTACAATTTGCTTCCCTGACATGCGTGGAAAAAGTGCTTACAATTTCCTTTGACATATTACTGTTTAGTTTTGGTCTCTTCTGTCCCAAATTCTTATCTTTCATCTCTCTCCCTCTCTCTCTTCTCGAAACATCATAAGTATGATTTACTCGTAATGGAGACTAATCTCTTTTAAGATGCTGGGTAAAGATTTAATCAGATTTACAAAAGGATTAAGTAATTAAATACTTTGTTATGATTATGAAGCCGGATTTAAATGACCGTTAATCACATGTCACTGTGCATAACACGTGTGTTTGTGTGTGTGGTTGACTGGGTGGTTCAAAGACAGGAATTTTGGGACGATGGACCCATGGCTACAGCAGTAGACAGAGCAGAGCTAAATTATTTGACAAGAGCCTAAAGCCTAATAAAGGGTTGTCACCTGTCAGATCCACCACTTATAATTAAACATTTCAATTATTTTGGAAGAATTTAATATTTCCTTTTCCCCCCCCCCTGTAATTGTTGGTTTTTTTGTCCCAAACTATGTATAAAAAACACACTGAATCATGTGGAAGTACATGGAATTAAGGCTATTTTTTTAATACAATTATCTGGTGCTATTACATTAGAAACCACTGATATGGCTTTGTACAAAGTAAACAATACAATTAAAACATTAATTCCCTGTGTTTCTTAAACCTTTATTCATTTTTAATCATTATCTACTTCTAAAACAAGTGTTCCAGTTTGCCAGCGGTAAGTTATTGAAGACTTGTTGGTAGATTATACAAGCACCATATATATGCCTGCCTCTATAAGCTTTGAACTATAATCCTCCATATGTGATCGCCATGAGAGTCACCTTGAAATCAATGTGTTCCATTCTGCAGCGGCGGCAAGACAGCATCTTGGACAGCTATAAGCCTTGCTCTTCCACCGTACTCTTCTGGTAGAACCTCTTCTCCAACGTCCTTTATAAACTGTCTTCTCTCCTCTTCATTACCCACAACTACTATCTGCAATCACCCCCACAAATTATTCCATCAATGCTTTTTTATATCTGTGAAGAGTAACATCTCCTTGTAATGTTTCTATTGAGCGGTAACATGAATTAATAAATGTTCAACTTCAAGGTCATGCTCAAATGGGCATGCCTACCAAGTTTAAGGGAAAACTACATTTCACCTCGCTATTTTGAGGCATATTCATTTCTAACTGCAATGTACATATAAACTGTTTTGAACTTCTCAGTATCAGCATTGAGACTTCCAATCCTGAACTGAGGGAACTGTCCCATTCAAATCCTTATTTGGTCTGAATTTAGACCATACTTCAGCTTCATTCATCCTCATCCAAGAACTTTGGACTAAAATGAAAACGTTAATTTCTAATTAAAATTAACTGCAATAGGCAAAGTGATCCTCCAATGACATCATATATTTGCATTTTCACCTCAATCAAATGCCATGAAGATTGTCGAAGAAGTAAGCAAGCATGGATTTTATAACTTAGTTCAGGGGTAAACTGTAGTTTTCTTAATGTATATATGGTTCTTAGACAAGCATGAATGATTTCATTCCTATACTTTCAGCACCCTATCAATTTTAAACATTGGACAGTTGATATTACCTTTTCTAGAGTTGCCTTCTCTAGGAAACGACAAATTAGCTTCCATACACTCACAAAAAACTGAGGCATATGTATAACATAGAGCTTTGCTAGACGTTCAGGGTAGTAAGCCTGCAATTCAATTAAAAGAAACACAATAAATGAGATTCGATTTGATGCGTTAACTGGTGCAAAACTTAGGGTAAGTTAGATGGGCTTCACAGTGCTGACAAATTTTCATCCAAATATTCGATGAACAATGAAATGATGAACACATCTGAACTATAACTATAATGAATGCATAATCATGCAAACTAGCACAAGGGAAACTCCAGTCAAAGATATCCTGTAGGGTTAAAAGTTTCAATTTTCCTTATTTTTTTAATTTACTTATTAATTTTTAGTCTAAAGTTTCTGTATATGGATGAACTCATTTCCAGCACTGACTAAACTTCATATTACAAACTTGTGACCAATGTAGGTTATCTGTATTTGGTGGGTCACACAAAATTCAATACTGAAGGAAAGAAGGAAAATCTGCAAAAAAAAGCAGGAAATTTTGAAAGTAGAAAAAAAAGAATGAAACTGTTAATGCTTATAGGTCAAGAGAGGCATAAGAAGTTTGGAAGTTGAAACTGCCGGATGGTTAAATTAAGGTTCTTCACCATAGAGCCACCTCACGCTAGTCTACTTAAATATTTCTTGGGTTATTAACGCGATCTGATATGAACTGATTCTGGAGCAATTTATTTGTTATCACAGAGAAAGCATCATCAGTGCTAAGTAAATAAAATAATCAGGTCATAGAACTTAGTGAATTTGCCAAATTTCGAATATAATTAACAAAGTCAAGTAAACAACTATAATTTTTGTGTTCATATAATTTTCAGATTAAATTAATTTCATGTTTCATGTAAGCCGAGCGACAATGCAATTATCTGTGCAACCTGTACCTCTCAATGATAAAATGCATGATGTGGACGAGAACAGTTACAGAATATAATGCTTGAAGAGAAAGTACAAATCAACGGCCATTTGCTATCATGAGTGACAGTTAATGTTACAAGTAGGAAAACGAAGAAAGTCACCTGTAAGAATTGAAAACCAGTGATGAACCCCCGTGCATCAATGTTTTTATACATGAGATTCTTCAGATCAACAACTGCAATCAACTTTTCATTTCCTATCTCCCTTCCTTTTACAGCACTGAAAACCAGTGAAATAATTAACTATAAGTCTCTCAATAGTCTATGACTGTTAGAGGCAACACCCACTCACACACACACAGTTGCATAGATGCAAACGAAGGTATATGAGAGAGAGAGATAGAAACAGAGGGAGGAGGGGAAATAGACGAAGAACAGAACAAAGACAGGGAAGAAAGGCAAAATGTGGGGGAAAGAGAGAGAGAGAGAGAGAGAGAGAGATCAAATGCTTGGTGAGGCAACAGGCATTCATTCACTCAAAAACAAGTCTGAATACACGAATTACTTAGTGGCTATAAATAGAAGCCACTTGCAGGTTTCTTTCAGCCAAATGCTAGTTTGTAAAGATTGTTGAAACGAGAAAGTATCCTCTTGCAGTGGACTTATTTGTAAGTTTCTCTAGTTTACACATAGAGGTGGTTCTTAATATTTTCTTTCTGGTCCAGAGTTCAAAGAGATCTTATATTTGATTTTAAAATTCAAGAGTACTGTTTCCTTTAATGGTTACTATGATTTTGACATCTGAAACTGGTATGTGAAAATGCTACTGAAGTAGTGATCAATAGGTTCATCGCAAGCAGCACAACAGTTATTTCACAGAAATGATAGGCAAATCAATGTACCAATGGTACAGTTATGACATACCTTGCGATTGACTTGTCAAGCAAATGAACAACATATTCTGCACCAACAGACAAGTTAAAACATTTGCCTAAGTAGTTGAGTTCTCATAAAAATTACAGCAGAAAAATTCAGTCATTTGCAATAACTTCTGTTTGGATCATACGATGAAGAAAAGGAGGGAGGGGTGGAAAGGCATAAGTAAATTGTAAATTAGAATTTCAAAATAAGGTGGTTGATTGGCAACAAGGGGGAAAAAAGTGTGGGTGCTAATGGAATCAAATCATCATGTATTAATTATTCCGCCCCCCCGCCGCCGGGGGGGGGGGACGCAACGTGATAATAGATTTAATAGTGATCTTTTCAATAAAAAACAATAAGAAAGAAACTGAAAAACATTATGAAATTACTCAATTCTTCTTATTGAAACTATATTAACCTTAATCGTTGTGGTTATTTTGAATGGAGAAGATGAGATAAGGAAGCAAAGGGATGTGGTGAAGGAAGCAGCTTAGACTTATCCAGCTTGATGACAAAGACAAGTACTGAATGGTGCCGTAGGGGGGAAATAGAGAAAGGAAATGGGCCCACTTAGGTGGGTCCCGCCTATATTTCTAAATCTCTCCCCTTCAAGGCCTTGTGCAGGCTTGGGATCCATTTCAAAGTCTAAATTGCTGCATAGGACTTTTACTAACTCTAATAATTAACAAAAATAATGTCCTCAATAAGCGCTGAAGTATTAGAATAATCTGGCATAGATTAAAAGTTAAAACACAAAGATATATATTCCAGAGGGCAAGATAAACAGGCCGGGCTCAACTATTTGTAGTAATAGCGGAACCTTGAGGACCACTTGAAGTCAGGAGAATTGTACTGACTTACATTTATGGATCTCCAGCAAGAAAAGTCTGGTGCAAGTAGATAAAGATCAGACACAAACATTTGACAGATGCTAATTACAGCATGATTATTGTGGTGGCTAAACTGTATGGTGATATTCATACTGATAAACTCATCTAGATGAATCGTTTCATAATGAAATTCCAAGGTAGTTGTAGAACCAGAAAAACAGAGTAAGTCAAGATAAGTAATCCAATTGTATCCACTTGACCATTGACTTTTAATTTGGAAGATTTCTCTCGTGCATAATTGTCCGGTCTGATGGCTCATATGAAAGAGGCATCTTTGAACTGATGACACTGGAATCATACTTTTCAAAACAGACAAAAGAATTATAGCCTTTTAATTCTTAAATTATTTTGTTAGAACTCAATTTTCAATTTGGTCCATGCAGATTAAAAATTTGTAATTGGGTCTCTAAATATATAATTTCAATTTAGTCCCTGTTTTAAACCTCTATCAATCTCTGTGGTTAATTTTTTTTTTCCTTAATGCGATCCCCATATATGATATACTATATTAGTACTCCAAACATACATTATCCATGGGTTGAAAAGGGATAAGAATAGATGCTGGAGTGAAATCCACTCATAAATGTGGCATGTGATCCCACCTATCTAGAGTGACAGAAATGAGTTGGCATAAGTTGTGCATATCTAAAGTATCAGCGGAGGTTTAGAGACCAAAATCAAATTAATAAACGTCAAAACTAAAAGTATTAAGTCATAAACTTCATTTACTACAAGGACCAAATTGAAACTTGGGTAAAATTATAAAGTAGTTTAACCCCTTTTTTTGGTTTTATATATGAGAGAAGAGAAAATTACTCTTGAATTGAGGCTGATCCTTGGAAGGAAAATGCTTGCAGGCTTGAACAATCAACAAAGGGTATTTATCCTGAGACAAACCCTGCAAAAGGACCTTTCTTGCAGCTAATTCATCAGCTATTTCAGATTCTGAAATGAACCCATTAGGCACCATTGAAGCCCTCCACTTCTGCCACTGAACAAACATCTTGGCGGCTTTATTTGGGTCCATTGATCTTGCAATCAAGAACCTCATCAGCGTTGGACCTTCATACATCTGCAAAATCAAAATTCATGAACCCTAGACAGAAAACAATGATTTTCGGAGATTCAACACTCGTATAGCAATGCATCGTGTGAGAAATGTATAGACCGGTCACCTCAGCAGAAGAGCCAAGCTTCTCCACTGCTTTCCTCATCTGAGTCACTGCAAAATCTTCTACTTCCCCCATTAATTTGAAGCTCTGTCAAAGATGAGTGATTGAGAGAGCAACGATGAGAGAAGAAGAAGATGATGATCAAAACCCAGGTTCAAGAGGGGAGGTTCATGCGTTTAAACCAATGTGGTTTAGGTCGGATTCCCGCTTAAGTGGAAGACAAATATAGAAGATTGGCGGGTGATATAAACTGTCAGTGTCATACTAATAAATGCACATGATGTATGACACTGTTTTATATTTCTTCTTCAATCTTAAATATAATACTTATTTTATAATTTTATAAATAGAAAAGTATTATTTATTTTTCAGAAAAATTAGCCTGGGCACAATTCTCCACGGAAGAAACAGTGCCTCGGTAGCATTATTGCCTATGATAGCACCTAAAAACAAAACAAGAAGAAGAAAAGAAAAACAAAGGAAGACTTGTCTTTTTTCTGTATCTGTTTTTGGTATCCCGAAGTCAAAGAAAGCCTTGTGAGTGATTAATGGTCGAAGGAAAATAAAATACTACCTCCGCTTTTAATTATAAGAACTAGTTAATTAATTTGAGAAGATTAAAAAAAAATAATAAATAAATATTATCTTTTTTAAAATGTTCTTGATAATCAAATGTATTGGTTAGAATTTTCATTATTAGAAGAATTATATTAGGAAAAAAATGTATAAATACGAGAGACAAGGTGAATTGAGATCTTATATTTAGAACCAAAATAAAAATTAAATAAGATCTTATATTAAGGATCAGAGATAGTAGTACGTAGTAACTGTAAGGGTTGCCACCTCCAATAATTCCCAAAATATTCCTAACATATGTTTGTGATAAATAATTAATTTAGTTAATTTAATTTATTTTTTTAAATTAATTATCTAATTTTTATATTAAGGAGCAATTTGAAGTGGTTATTAACATCAACCTGAATTATCATGAGTCAATTATTAAGGATATTTTTAAAAAGCTAAAAAATTATTTCAAAACTAAATACCAATATTCTTAAAATATTGGAATGGTCAATGGCGGAGGATAGAGGGAGGATTGACAGGGACAAGTATTATATAATTTTTCAAAACAAATTTATGCAACTATTAATATTGTTCAATTTTGGTGCAATTATTTATACAGCAGCCCTATGCATGGGGGTGGCATAATTGGAGCCAAGATTTTTTTTTTCTTGGGCCAACATAATGGTCTTTAACTTAAAAAATTTAGTTTAGTAATATAATTTAAATATATTCAAATTAAAGATTCATCTTTTGTGGAATATTTTAGATTATTTTTGTCGTTACCGTCAACAAGAATGAAGCCATATAAATGGCCTGCTTTAATTTCAAAGGCGCACTTTTGAATTTTTAAAGGTTTAGTCAAATATCGACAGGTATGAATTCTTTTTATATGAATTGGGAATGATTGATTTTTCGAAGCAAATATGATAATTTAATAGTTGATTCAGAAATTGAGTATCTGCAAGATGACGGTCTTGATCAGGAAAAATATTTTTATCTGGAAACTCAGCGATTTAAAGTTTTTGGACATATAATTATATGGCAGTCAACAATAAGCTGCTCCAATAGCAATAACAATTGATAGCAAATGGGCCATGAATCTTGAAATATTAACCCTAAAATCTTATAACTTAAAAAAAAAATTGCCATATAAATATATAAATATATATATATACTCCCCAAAATCTTATTATGATATATTGATCGTCCTATTTTCATCAAAATAATTGAAAACATAGATATTCTGTGCAGGTATTGTTTCCTTGTTTTCCTTTCTATAGTACAGCCTCCCCCCCTTTCCGAAAGAAAGAAAAAAAAAAAGAAGGAAAATACTTTACAAGAGGATCTATTAAACAAAGAGGACGGAGATGGGAACTAATTACTACTTACAATCCTTAATAAAAAAGTCCAATTGATTTATTTAAGAAGATTAAAAAAATTATTAAATTATTTTAGAGTATTTATATTTATTTTTTAAACCAATTTGTTTCACTTATAAATTAATATATGATCTAATACTACCTTCAAGTCTTTAATATAACAACTAGTTGATTAATTTGAATAAATTAAAAAGGTTTGTTAAGCTAGTTATCTATAATAAATAGGTGTTGTTTTTTTTTAAAATACCCTTACTAATCATGTGTATTTGTTGCTATTATTTGATAAAATCTTTAACATGTGCAACTACCGCATGGACTATTTTAGAAAAAAGAATGGATGAATAAGAGAAACAAAACGAATTAAGATTTTATATTTAGGAGCAAATTAAAAATCAAACTAGCTTTTATATAAATAATTGAAGGTAGTAATACACAAGTATTTTAAATATGTCATATAACATATAATATACTTAAGTAATTTAATAATTTTTTTTAATTTTTTAAGTTTAGTGAACTAAATCTTATATTAAAGATCGAAAGTAATAATTTTTCATGTACTATGAAAGAAACCATAATTAAAATGTTTTCTTCCCCTGTTCACTCGAAAAACACGTTCCCCCTCCCCCTGGATACACGATTAAAATGCTATAATGCCAACATTTTGGACACTAGGTGCTACTATTTTTAAAACAGAAACGCCAATAACATCATAGTCTAATTCTAAAAAGGTACAGCTGTTTAGACAATTAGGCGAATTATTCAAGTCAAGATTTTATCATGGGGATTTAATTTAAATAAGTTTACACAGTACAGAAGTAAATAAACCTAGATGTACTTATTTATAATAATTAAATATGACAGTTGTATAAGCTTTTGGTCACATAAATAGTAAGTTTTAAAATCATTTTTTGTTTGAAAAAACGAGTTTAAAAATCTCACATCAATATGATCACGAAACTCCAACTGTAAAGAATTTCCTACTTCAACGGTGCAAGCTACAATATTTAAAGCTTTAGTCAAATGTAGACAGACAGGTATGGTTTTTTTTCCCTTAATAGGGATATGACTTTTCGAAAAAAATATAATACTATATTAGTATATTTTACAGTGTATACTCTATAATATAGATCTAAAGAAAGAAAAATTTAAATATTAATTCGTCAAAGCGACTCTTAAAATTGGAATATAACTCCCGTCTAATCACTGCCACGTGTTTGAATTATTGCGCTGTTTTTCCCCCCACGGTGAAGAAAGAAGTAAAATAATGAATCAATATATGCTTTTTGTCTTCGGTATAATAAAATAATGCAGTTATTTTATCATAACCCTCTTCTCTTATGCCACATGGGAGCGAGATCCTTGGAGATAACAGATTGGATTTCTGTGTAAAATCAAGAAGTTTCTTCCATAATCATGATCAATATAATTGATAATCATCATCTTCAGTTTTTGTTTGTACAAACCTTCTTTTCTAGTTTTAATTTTCTTTTTACATTTAACGGGATGTTTGAATACAACCAAATAGTAATTTTAAAATAATTTTATGATATATAAAATAAATATATAAAAAGAATTTTATCCTGACTTACTAAAAATGTTTTTAAAAAACACTTTCTGTGAAAACCAAATACCGCCTAATTATTAGTTGATTGTTAAATTACATTGCTGACCTTTTGTTTTAATCAAAATGTACACCTTCTTTAGCATTAGGTACTATTTGGTATGAAAGAAATAAATGAGAGGGAAAAGGAAGGAAAATTTTAATGAGTTTTATTTAGAAAATTAAAAAAGTGGGGTTTTAAAATTTTAATAAAGAAAATAAGTAATATAAAAGAGTAATAAAAATTAATCAAAAACTTTTAACCCCACTTTTATAATTTTTTAAATCGAGTTTATTAAAAAATTTTCTTTTCTTCCGTCTCCTCCATTTCCCTTATATCAATCGCACCTTTAAGATCACTTAACAATTATTTGAATAATTATTTTAATTTGCCTATCCCAATATGGAGAGGGTGACAATATTAACAATATGTTGCCTCTTCCAATGGTGACTTTTGAGTTGGGATCACCCACATACGCCCTCGAGGGTTTCAGGATTTGGATTAAAATATGATACTCCTCCGGTCCTTATTATAAGACCCTATTTGACTTTTTATTTGGTCCTAATTATAAGACCCTAATCCATTTTATCTATTATATTTATGTATTTTTTTCCAAGATAATCCTTCTAATAATGATAGTTTTAGCCAATATACTTAATTAGCAAGGATATTTTAGGAATGACAACACTTATTTATTATAAATAACCAACTTAACTTACTTCCTTAATTTCCTCAAATAAGTCAATTGGGTCTTATAATTAGGACCGGAGGAGTATTAAGTTAATTTCAACGGTTTGCAACCCAAAATAAAGAGGTGACCTGGATAAGTAAGTCACTTCACTCGTCAATTATGTCAACAATAAGCTAATGAAAATTACTTTTTTTTTATCAGATAATAAAAATAATTCAATTAATGGAGATCTCATAATAGTTACATTAAAGAATATCAATCCTTCAACAACCATAGTATAACAAGAAGGAAAGACACACTAATTGGTAAAGGAAATAAATTACAGAAAAAGAAGAATAATAGAAGGAAATTCCCAAGAGGAAGAAGAATGATCGTATCATATGAGAGGGAAGACATGACCAAGTTCATGGAATCCTTTGTCACTACTGGTCTTCTTCAAAACCCTTTGATTATTTTCTCGGCCCTTTCCATTATTCCAACCCAAATCTCTTCTTAGTCCATCCTCATATCATTACTTCACCATATGAAATCACCACTAACATACTTTAACCAACAGGAATTGGATTTAGTAGAAGGGGTTAATCCCTTACAATGTAGTGAACTAAGATTCGAATTCCTGCTAGGAGAGGTATCTATATTTAGTGCCTGACAGCGTTTCAAATAAGATTATCTCCAATAAGAGGATATCTATGCGCAGAAAAAGAAAAATCATTAACTTGCTTTGACATATAAGCCGCCATTAATTATCTTGGCTGACTCCTTTAATTTAATTGGTCTTGCTCAAATAATTCACACCCACTCGAGTCAACTTGAGTTGTGGAGCCATTATTAGCTAATTCTTTCCGTGTAACTTCATAAACTTCTCTGTTCATGTATATGAGTTTATTGGAAGGATCATCTTTCTTTCTTTTTTTTTAGAATATTGATTGGAGTTG